ATATATGTACTGGTAATTTTTATCTCACATTTTACTCATTTAGTAAGGATTAAGAAAAAAACTTTTTCACTTATTAACTATATTGAATTAATTTGTATAATTGTTTCCACAATTTATTCGAATAATATCTCATTCAGGCTATGCTTTCCCTCCCAGACTTACATATATAACTTTGTCGTCTTTAATACGCATTTTATGAAATGACCCCAAGACCTGCCGATAGATTTTCTTATGAAATTGATAAATAATCAGCTATATTCAAACTCTTGCTATTTATTACTATCATTATCATCATCAACATCATTGTCATGAAGTGATAAATGAAAATCAAAAGATGCCTCATTCTGTCATGTGAAAAACCATCTCTTACATCCTTTTTCATTTAATTGTCAAATATCCAACGTCATATCTCTTAGATCCTTTTTTTTAATTGTCAAATATCCAAATTCCTAATAATTTGATGTCATGCATAAATACATGAGATTTAGAGCTCACACATATACGTATTTACCTGATGCAACTCTTACTATAAGATATATGCATTTCATTTGGAACTCTATAATTAGTATTTGTTTAAAATTTGCTTCATCTTGTCCTCAATTATTAAATAATAGTTCTTTCCTATAGAAATCCTTTGCCAAAATTCCTTAATTTATAACTTGAAGTACGTTGTCCTACATCTTCCAAATACAAAGCTAAGATATTATTACAACAATCTATTAGTGTTACTCGAATATCATCACAAATCCTTGTGTTTATTTCTTATTTTATTTATTCTTAGGATACATTTATACATGTTAGAATATGCTTTTTAACATGTTGCCTCGAACTCCATAGAAGCAATTGAATTACACGATATTAATTTAATGATATGAAGAGAAGCAAGAAAAAGAAGTGCTTAATATTATCTCATATAAAAGTGACATCGTTCTCCATTGCATGATAATACCCAGCATAGCTATAATTTCTATTACAACCCATATTATAATTTCACATTATTACAAACTTTTTAATCTAACTGGAAAACCCGGGATACGATAATGACCATCAACGGGTCTTATTCTTCAGTAACCATAGCTATAATGTTAAGTAGAACAAAAGCAGGACTTAGGCCACTTTCACAAACCTCAACTGTTGACTCGGTCACCACGACCACCGAGATAATGGCTGCAGCCACCTCCTGCTTTTGGACACTCTTTAACGGCGGCCATCCCCTCCGCCACCATCGCCGCCATCATCGCCACCGCCATTACCTTCGTCGCCACCACCGTCGCCGCCCCCGATTGGTTCATCACCAGTTCCTTCTCCACCATCATTATTACCATTGCCATCGTCATTGCCGCCCCCGATGGGTGGATCACCGTCTCCTTCTCCATCATTATCATTACCATTGCCGTCGTCATCGCCGCCCCCGATGGGTGGATCACCGTATCCTTCACCATTATCATTACCATTACCGTCGTCATCGCCGCTTCCGATGGGTTGATCACCGCCCCAAGGTTGAGCACCGCGACCAATGGGTTTGTTGTCATTGACTTCTCCACCATTATCTTTACCATCGCTGTTGTCCCCTGGAATTCCACCGTTGCCATCCCCTCCACCAACCACTCCGCTGCTGCCATCGCCTCCATCAAATCCTCCACCGCCAACACCGATGCCACTATTGTGGCGACTTCTGTTGCCTGAACCATGCCCTACCTCTAGCCTAGTATTGTCTGGTGGTGGGGAGTAACTAAGAGTCGATTTTGACCCCCCAATATCCATCAAAGACCTCGCAAAAGAAAGGCAAACACTAATGCTAAGCAGAAGCAGAATTGCAAGGTTCTTAAGCCTGCTGCTAGTAGCCATTCTGATTTATGGGAATGTAGATGGGGAGCTGTGGTGCAGATGGGAGTGGTATTTATAGCTAACAGATAGCACTATGGCATGCGTTTTTCAAATCGAGTGGGGCTCACTATGGCGTGTTATATTAGATTTTCTAGAAGAGTAAAAAAGACATCATAAAATGATTAGTTGTCCAAAATATTAATTTTTGGCTAAATTAATAGTTTTGGAAGCCTGAAATCTTTGTGCCCATATCCATGAGCTCATTCAAGATTTATGGTTTAAAGATCATCATAAATTTATCAGGACTTTTAACCATTGTGATCTCATTCTGTCATTAAGGCCACTAAATTCTTTATTCATCTTACGTCCTCTTTCATTCATACACTAAGCCACCCCAAAGCCCACTAGATTTTGGTGGTAAGTCGCTTTCCATTCCCTGATAGTTTTGAGATGATTATTGAAAATCTCTTTTAAAATATTTTAGTATACTAAAATAATTGCATTTTTTATTTTGAAATAAATTATTAATAACATATATTACAAACTTCCAAAGGAGTTATCTTTCACATTTGTAAAAAGCATGCAATATTTTTTTTTAAACAATCTTTTTAATTATATGTTGCTTGTTTTAGAGCGATTAAACTTGCATAATAAAATACAACAGTAATATGGTATATTCAGGGAAAATTTACTTTTAATGTTTCATAACATGTTAAGATCTATATTGTTACGGATGTTATTCCTAATATTTTTGTAAATTACATATTGAAGCTCATCACTATGAAGACAACTTAAGAAAAAGATTTGAATCGTTGTTTTAACTTTTTTTTTTAACCATGTAGGCTCCAACACATGTTGTTGGTCACTTGATGCACACTTTAGCACGCCCCATCATTCGAACAGCTCCTCCTCTTACTTGGGTATAATAGATGGTTCAAAGGGGAAAACTTTTGTGAAGAATAGGATGTCACACATTCTTTAATACAAAAGATTATGGGTAGAAAGGAGCAAGAAAATGTCTTTAGGAAAGTCCAACTTATTTTTACCATGAGAACTTAATTTTTAGATTATAAAACTATTTCAGCTTATGACTCCATCCATGAGAAGTAACAAGAAAATCCTAAATATTCAATTGCGTTGTGATATAATATGTTGGATTATGCTTAAATCGCACTTTATTTTAAGTTTATTCAACCTTCGATTGAAACTTACTTGAAATTGTTGAAACACCACATAAATATTGCACAATGTGTACTCAAATTTGGTTCAAACCATATAAAAACTATTATGAAACTTTTCTCAAATATTGCTTGAACATAGATTGAGCCTTTCTTAAATCTTAATTGAACCATGCTGGAACATGGCTAAAATTTAGTTTGAGCCTCCTCCAACCACGCTAACCCCTTGGCTTAAATCATGCTTTATCTTCCATAAAATTTTTGACTCAAAACAATGTTACATTCAAACATATTTCCTCAAGAATTTTTTTTTTCAATTATGTATATACGATAAGTTATTAATAAAGTACAAATATTTTGGCATTAGGATTAGTATATATTTGATGATCTTAGGACTAGGAGCACACCAAGTTGCATGTTCTGTAGATGGTCCTAGTGGTTTGTATAGCTCTATTTATGATGAATGACACTATGTAAACCGACCTCCATAAATTAACAAGAAATATGGAAAATATTGTGTGGAATATGTACACTTTCAAAAGTGATAAATTAGATTAGGTCATTATAAGGTGATTAGTGGGAATGGTGATAATAATAGTTGGCAAAGACTTATCTTGTATTATGAAGAAATAAGATATTCTCAAAACCTAAACTAATTAGGTAAAAGCTACCAATATCACTATGAGTTTGAATCTAGCCTAACAAGACAAAGTGGGACACTTTGCCTCTGTTGAGAAGTGAAATACAACCATCTTCTCATGGACTTGATTCTACTTGGATAGGAATTTTCATGCTTGAAGCCACTCAGAAATTGATCTACGTTGTGTCAAAGTAAGAGAACATTTTCCTTTACGCTTCCAAATCTTTCCAATAACCGTTTCATGAATCTCCAGCTCTCGTCTTTTGCAAATCTTCTTCAACCCTAGTCTGACATTCAAGTTATTTTCAGTTTTTCACTTAACATCCATCACAATGTTAAATATATTGTCAAAGAAATTTTTCTCTTTGTGCATCACATTGAGATTATGTCTGATCATGTTATCCTTCCTGTCAAGTAGATCCCAAAAAATGGATTTCTTTCACCAGTTATGAATAATACCAAAGATTGATGGACAATGCAAAGATATCTCGGGACAAACAATTATCTTTGAAAGGTTACTGGCAATCTGAAATAAATCTTCTCTAGATACTACTGGAGGTGACGTTCATTTCTCATATTTATTTCTTCTGAATGCACTTTTATTTTATCTAAAGGGATGTTCAACATCTAATCTAAATCATATGGTGATAATCAAATCATGAATTCTTCTTGCATGCTGAAACATGAATGCTTTAGATGAATCCATGCAATATAGACATGCTAACTTTCCCACAATGTTCCTCCTAGATAACATTTCATACGCTACAAAATCACTTATTGTCCATGTTAATGTTATTTTCATTAAAAAATTTTGTTTGATGGTAACATCATAAGTCATGACGTCTCTTTCTTAAAGAATCTATAGCTCAACTGTTAGTGGTTGCAAACTGTTAGTGGTTGCAGGTATACATCAATCCAAACTTTATGACTACTGGGACTTGTATAATCAAGGTTTGGAGTAAGAAGGGTGTTTGTCATGCACATCTCAGGGGAGGGGAAATTGTATAGCATAACGATCACTGGCCAACAAGAGTAGTGTCACGACATGAATGTACGGTGAGAAGTCATTCAAGCATAAGCCAAGTTTGACGTTACATGCTTCTGCAATAAACTGAAAAGGTATACGATCAAAACTTTTCCAAGCTTCTCCATCTACAAAATGACACATTTAATTGATATTCTCTGGCCAACTATGATTACACGTCATATGAGGAGCAGTACAAGATGAAGCACATAGTTTTTGAAGACGTGGAATAAGCGGTAGATAAAAGAGATGTCTGTAAGAAACTTCTTCATGACTCTTATTTTCTTATTATGAAGCTTAAATATTGGAAAATTATAGATTCTCCACTGAGTCTCTGTTGCACTGTACTCATAAAATAACATGCATCCATTCACTCAATAATCAATCTACTTTATTTTTTCAACCCTAACTTGGAGACCAATTTATTTGTCCTGTATAAGTCTTCTAGAACTAAATTTTCTTTTAGATTAGTCTATTTTGGTAATGTTGATACACTTTCAGGGCATATTAAACTCTGTTTTAATTATTAGCATTTTAAGAGCTACAGATAATTCAGAATGAGAAGTGCATATCTCCCGCGGTGACCTTTGAGCAACATTCAACAAGTCATAAAAAGTTTGAGCCTCATGATTTGGTGTCTCCTCATGCACTTGACTTGGTTAATGAAGCGTTGTCCCATCGAAGATCATCTCTTTAAATTTATTTGAGTAAAATGTAGGTGGAGGATCGTAACTCATAGAATGAACATAGTTGAATGTTGCGGGGTCAACCTCCCCATGCGAATTCCAAATGCAGTAATTAGGTTGAAACCCCCAATGACATAAATCATATATGATCAATTCTTGTGTTTAGTGTGTGCACATCAAAACTTAACTTCAGATAGGTAAAATGGAAGTTACAATGCTACAGCCACAAAAATTTCGACACCATTCAAGAAATCTTTGGTGATCCTTTCTCTATCTGAATAAAGGTTATTATAAATTCATAATCTTGACGTACAATTAATTATATATTTACCTACAAACCTTACAACAATAAACACATTGTAAAGTACATTCAAATGCGTACATAAATTTTTTTTAGTAGTTGACATAATTGCAAAGTTATAATAATGGGTGATCAAATTGTTACAAGGATAAACGTTTTAGATAGCTCGAACAACATTAATCACTCGAATATTGATTATTTTAATTTTGGCTTGCATAATTAACGTATCAAAATAAATGAGGCGAGCTACGGGTCAAAATTTTGGATCAATTTTTTTTCTATTTAACCCAAATCTGTTGTTAGGGCCGTCGAAGAAAGATAAGTAGTCTATTTTTTTTTCGAATTTTTATATATAATCTTGTTTATCACCATAGCTAAACCAAACCTTGCACGTAATTATTTCTTTCGCATTTTCTTTCGAAGTGGGAAGCCAATCATAAATCTAAGCATTCTCATCTCCGCAAACCCCATATGCTATTAATTGCACACCTCAAATTATATTCTTAGAAGGAAATATTTTATATGATGTAAGAGTATTCAATGCATTCTAAAATGCAAGTCTAATTTCTATTGCCAAAATGAAAATTCAGTTCGAAATTTAATTTCCATTCCTAAAATGGAAATTTACTTCGAAATCTAATTTACATTGCCAAAATGGGAATTGTGGTAATGGAAATTAGATTTCGAAGCAAATTTTTATTTTGGGAATAAAAATTAGATTTCTAAGTGAATTTTCATTTTGGCAATAAAAAGTAAATTTTAAAATGAAGAAAACTGTGAAAACTCTTACATCATCTGAAATATTTCCTTTTAAGAAAATATTTTGAAGTGCACAATCAATCGCATAAGGGGCTCCAACGACAAGAATACCTAGTCTATGAATTACTTTACAATTGGAAATAAAATACGAAACAAATATATTCGTGAAGAGTTGGAGTAGCTTCAGTTGCAGAAAATATTAGAAAGTGACGACTCAATGGATTTAACTAATAGATTTATCTTAAATCAAAATAAACACCATAAAAAACTAAATATTAATTTAAACTATTCATTAATTCACAATTCATTTATACGTTTTGTTGATTTTCAAATCAATGTTAGTTTGATTAATGATCTTTGAGATACCTAACATCAATATGACGTTAAATGATATGGTTTTGATTCGACTGAAGATCGGCTAAAAAAAAAATATGATCC